CACAAAACCTCTGTTCCTCTTGGCATCTGCTGGGCAGCTGAGGTGGCAGAGGACCCCAGAAGTTACCCAGTCCAAGAGGAGCCCAGGCCTGATTCACACACCTCTGGTGACAGAGAGTTCATTGCCGCCCAGAGTGGCCCCTTCCATGCAGGGCGGTGACAAGCCTGTCCCCCACACTCAGCCGCTCTGACGCTTCTTTCACCTGTCCTGGCCCTGCCCAGCACGCCCAGCACGCCCAGCACACGGAAGCCTGGGTCTTCCTGGCAGCCTCCCATCTCTTCTCCAGCTCCAGGCCCGTCCCCGCCTGTCTGCCTGCCCCCATGGACCTGAGTGAATGTTGGTGACCGCACATCTGACTACGTCACTCTTCTGCTGAAAGTCCTGCACTAGTTCTCTGTCGTCTCCAGGAAATGGCCAGCTCCTCACAGGGCAGCCAGTGAGCTTCTGCGTGCTCGCCTCGCCTCGCCTCGCCTGCTCCAGCCTCCAGCTGCGCCCCGCCTGTCTGGTCTCAGAACCGGCAGTGGGCGGCCTGGGCCTCTGGACCTTTGCACACAGGGGCCTTTCTGTTGGGGGCCTCCAAGCTCCCTTTCTGCTCAGAATGGCTTCTTCAGCTTGGGAGACCCAACTCAGACGTGCCCTCCTCTGGGAGAGCTTTCCTGCCTCTTCCCCTCTGGCTGGGCAAGTCCTTCCCTGTGCCTCCGAAGGGCCTGCCGCCCCCTTCATTCCACTCACTGTTGACATGTCTATCCCCTGCCTACCTGTGGGCTGCCAAGGTCAGTGGCCCTGTTTACCTCCAGATCTCAGCGCCCAGCCCGGGCCAGGTGGGTGACAGGGGCCCTCAGAAAACACTGGTCGAGAGTAGACATGGGTGGGGGGGTTTGTCCCTGGAGGAAAAAGTCCTTTCTACCTCTCAAAACAACTGCAACCCCTCACCCCATCCCTGGTCCTCCCTCCAGCCCCCTCAGATCCCCCTCTGTTGTCCTCCTAAGGAACAGTGGACTGGGGGTCAGAAAGCCACCTCATTGGTGGATTTGGGCAAGTTACTTCCCTTTCTTGGGCTCAGTCTCCCCAGCTATGAAATGGGGTGGGGGCGGGGAGGCTGGGGTGCATGATCTCCAATGTGCTCTCTCCCCTCAGATTCTTTCTCTGGCCCCAAATAGCCCCTACTGTGTGTCAGGAACTGTGCTGGCACCTTACGTGCGTGATTTCTAATGTACACGACGTGAGGTGTTTTATATAAGGCACTCAGCATGATAGAAAACATTTAACATGACGCCTGGCATATTGGAAGCTTCAAATAAATAGAAACTGCTCTCAGTAATACTTATTACCGTTTCTGGCGTCCCATACAGCATCGTTCCATAGGCGAGAACAAGAAGGCAACGTGGGGGAGTGACCAGCCCGGACTCACAGAGCTGGAACTGGAGCCCGGCCACCCCACGCGCTCTGTCCTAGCCGGTGGGCAAGCCCCTTCAGCCACTCATTCAGTAACTATGGAAACATGCCTGCTATGTGCCTGGCCTGGTGTGAATGCCCTCGTGGAAGGTATAGTTTCCTGGGGAAGAGAGGTTAACTAAATATTCCCACGAACACATATAGAAGCCATAAAATATGCTCCGTGGTATGAAGGAAAAATCGGGGTGCCGAAAGAGGCGACTTGGCCTGGGGTGACCGCGACGGGGAAGCCCCCAGCTAATCTGGTCAGGCGTGGCGGCTCTGGGCATGGGTATCACTGTCCAGACGAGCTTCCGGGCTGCCGACCCTGGGGGCCGGAGCCGGATGCAGCCCCCCGCACCCCAACCCCAGAGCGGCTCCCCCACCCCCTGTCTCTCTGAAGACTGTCCCTTTACAACTGCCCTTTCCACCGAAGGATTCAGACGCAAATTGTACTTTAAATTCAATATCGGTCATTAATATTTCATGATTACAAAACGTTAAAGATAATGTCAGGGAAGGAGCGTCTGGACGGGCAGGATGGAGAGGGGCGACGGCATACTAAGTGGCCTGGGAGTCGTGAGGTAATTCAGTGTGACAGGCAGCGGCTCCCGCCTGCGTGCCGCGCTCTCCGCGGGACTCGCAAGGCTTCGTCGCTGTTTATAAATATTTCCCCTCTCATTCTTGTCACCTTATGTTTGTTACACCTGGAGTAAGAACAGCCAGGGCTGCGGTGACCCCCTGGGCATCCCCTGCTTCTGTACAAGTCAAACGGATGCTTGCGCCCCGCAGGTGCGGGAAGTGGGGGGTGGGGCGGGGGATGGGCAGACCCGCTGGCGTTGCACTTGGGGCTCAGGCTGGCCGCTGGGAGATGGGAGGTCGGGGTGGGCCCCTGGCCCTGCATGACTTGCTCTGTGACCCTGGGGCCATCGCTGCGACCCTGTTTCCTCATCTGTGGTTGGGGGCGGGGATAAGCATTTTGTCCTGGTCTCTTGGAGTGGGCAGATTCTTTGGGACACACCTGGCTTCGCGCCCAGCTGCGAGGGGTTATGAGTTGAGGGGCATCTGGGTGGCAGCGGGGCTCTGGAGCCAGACAGGCTGGGGCTGGAAGTTTGGACAACTGCCTTCACCTCTCTGAGTCTCAGTTTCCTCATCCACAGGGTGGGGAGAACAGCAGAACCGAGACCTCTTAGGTGGGAAGATTCAATGAGCACATCACTGTAAAGTGTCTGACATAGAGTTGGTACTTAAGTCAAGTGCAGACTCAAGATCCGTAGATACCAGTGACTGAGCACCTATTAAATACTAGGCCAGGTTCTTTCCGTGCATTTTCCTGTTAGAGGCCTAACCCTCCCACCAGCACCACGAAGTGGGGACCATTCATTTTCTCATTGATTAACATCCCTGTGAGGGCGGGTGGGGGTTGTGGACACAGCTCGGAGGTGGGGAGTGTCTCTAGCCCAGTGACCAGTCTTCCTCTTCCCCATGGTCAGTTGTTGGGGACTGGTGGGTGGGACAGGGCTGGGGCTCAGGGGGCAGCAAGTACCAGGGAAAGGATGCCCACACAGCAATGTTACAGTGGGGGGAACAGGGCAGACGTGGTCCAAGTCCCAGCTCTGCTACTGCACATCCTTGGGCAAGGCTCCTAACTCTCTGAGCCTTGATTTTTCCCAGCAGTAAAATGGGTGCTGATCTGTTACTGATTAGGATTTAAGAAAAGTATGTGCTAGAAAGCGACTAACCCAGAATATGTATTAGGTAAAGACTGTAGGATGTTTATGGGGGAGAGTCCCCCACGTTCTTTACCCTGTGAAATGGCAGCGTTGTAGACTTTGTATGCTCCTCTAGCTGCTTTCTGAAAGGGACCCACTGGGTAGAAGCACAACGCTTAACCCGGGAGGGGATGTGCTTGTGGCAGAAGCCAGGCCATGTGACAGGCTGCTGGAGGGGACTTATTTGTAGGTAGGGAGAGGAGGCATCTCGACCTGCCTGCCCAGGGAGCAGGTTCACGGAGGCAAGGAGGAGGGGCGCTCTCCCCCCCAGTCCAGCCACCCCTGCCTCTCCAGCCACCTTTGTTATCTCTCTTTCATGGAGTGGATTCAAAGGCTTGGGAGCAGCAGGCACTGAGGTTTAAGGCAGCTTTGTATTTTCTTTTAAACTGAAGTTGAAAGACACAAGGAACTTCAGCCTAGGGACTTCCTCGGCTCCAGCGCCTGGATGGGCTGGTGGTGGCTGCAAAGTGGTGGGGGGGGCGAGGCGGGGTCGGGGTGAGGAGGAGGGCTTGGGGCTGACTGGGGCGAACGGGAGTTTGAAAATCTCCCACCTGGGGCTCAGAGACTGGGTATTGCTGTTGTCATGACTGCTTTCGGGCTGCTCTGCTGGCCCCGGGGAGCTTGGCGAGCAGGTCCAGCCCTGCTGTGTGTGGTCCCGGAGGAGGTCCGGAGCCGCACCCTTCCCTGCCCTGGTGCTCCTGGAGCTCCACGGCCTAACTTATCTGAACCCCGTGTCTCACGCCTCCCCCGTTTCCTCTCCCAGTTCGCACTTCTCTCCAGCTGCACCAAAATGTGTCTGTGGCGCACACACGCGCACACACAACCCTGCCGTCGCTCTTCCAGACACTCAGGCCAAGCACCTTGCAGTCCTTCTGACCTCCCCGCATCTCTTTCATGTCCGCCCACCGGCAGGTCCTGTTGGCTCTCTCCTTACCCTGCGTCTCAAAGTCGATCACTTCTCACGTCCGCCATGGCTACTGCCCTGGGCCAGGCCACCAGTGCATCCTCCCAGCTGCACCATCACATTTGGCTTCCAGCTGAGCCCCTGCTCAGAGGTATCCTGTCAGCCATTGTCTCTCCTCTGCTCCACCCCCACGCTAGCGACTCCCGCCTCATTCGGAGTAAAGGCCAAGGACACTACAATGGCTGTCCCTGCTGCCCCTCTCTACACACTGGCCGCTGTGATGCTCCTCCAACAGGCAAACAGGCAAACTGCCCCCTCTGAGCCTTTGCACTGGCTGTTCCCTCTGCCTGGAGCACTCCTCCTGCAGACGTGGGCACGATTCCCTGAGGTTACTGACGTCTCCGTGGAGATGCCTCCTTTTCAGAGAGGCCTTCTCCTGAGAGAAACACCCCCTTGCTCCCCACCCACTTCGCTTGCTTTCTTCTTTCTCCTGACGTATGCACGCCCTTTCCCTCCGTTAGCTGATGGGCTAGCTTTCCCCCAGAAAAACAGATGTGTTTCTGTCCTCTTCAGGGCTGTATCCCCAGCCTCTAAAACAATGCTTGGTCATGGAAGCAGGAATAAAGAAACCAAAGTGTTTAGTAAATTAAACAACAACAACAACAACAAAATAAAACAGAGTTTGGTATGCAGTGGGTGCTCAATAAATGCTGAGGGAAGAAAACCAGCCTTAAGACAGGCCCTGCTCTTTTGATCTAGGATCCTTCCCATCTCTCTCTGTTCCTGCCCATTGGCTCTTGCCTCCCACCCGCCCTGCGGTATTTGCCCTGCCTCAGCCCTGCCCCCAGCCTTCACCCCTCCCTCCATACCTGCCCCTCCGCCCAGCTTACCTGCCTCCATGGCCAGCACCGTGATGTTGTGCCAGCCAGCAGTCTCGCGGTCCAGTCCCTTGCCCGTCACGATGGCGCCCGTGTCGGCATCGATATCAAAGATCTGGTCCAGATCTGAGTCTCGGTCAATGGCATACCTGGTGGAGGCAGGGCGGGGCTGATTGAAGGTGCCCTAGCACCAGATGGAACCGTGCCCATGTCCCCAACCCCATCCCACCCTACCCCTGTAGAGGACCCCTTGCCTGGCAGACACAAGGAGCAGAGGCCCTGTGCAACAGAGGAGGCGTGGAAAGGGATCTGGGTTTGCATCTCAGCTGCCCTGGCAGCCTCGACCTTTCTGGGTAATTGGGCTAATAATTCGCACCCTGCCGTTCTTGCATGGTTGCGAGGGCTGGAAGTGGGCAGAGTCGCTGACGCAGAGTTAGCCCTCTCTGCATAGTCAATTGTTATCTTTCCATAAGCAGTGACCCTGGACCCGGGCCTGAGAAGGGGGCGGGGCTGTTATCAGGCAGGGGGAACAGAAGATGCAAAGGCAGCCGGTGAGAATTATTCAGGGAATGGAAAATGGTGCAAGAAATGCTTAGAACTGGGACGTGGGGGAGAGTTAGGCTCCAGAACAGGCAGGCGCAAGATTCAGGGTTTGATATACATGGGCGAGGGGCAAGGGGAATTTTGAGCAGGAACAAAGGGGTGGGCTCTGGCATCATGAGCCTCCTTCCGGCTGCGTGGGTGTGGAGGCCCTAGGCCGGGACACGGGTTGAGTGATGCTATTTCTAGGGGACGTGGGGGAAAGGCCGCCAGTCCCCCCAGCCCCGCCTCCCCGCCTGCAGAGCACGCAGGAACTAATCTTCGGCTTTTCAGCTGCCCTGTGAAAAAGCCCTTTGTTCCGCCTTCTTCCCTGGCCTTTGTGCGGTGGCTCCGGGCCTGAAAGGGCTGTGTCCAACACATGTCTCTGACGGCTGCCCAGAGAGGTCCCACCAGCGCTGGCCACGGTTTCCTGCGCTGATAACGCAGGCGGGGGTGTCGTTAAGACGCATGGCCCACAAAGGCCTCGAAAGCCAAGCAAAGGCTCTTTGTGCAGCCAAACGAAGCAGCTGGGTGGGCAGAGCTTGGCCCAAGGCACGGGCCCCTCCCTCAGGCAGGAGCAACGCGGCCCTTTTCCCATCTCCGAGAGAAACTGAGGCTCAGAGAAGTGAGGACACCAGAAACACCCCTGCTGGGGACCCAAAGTCCTTTGGGGACATGACCCTTCAGTGGCGCCTCGGCTGCATCACCAAACTTCCTTGGGCCTCCGTTTCCCCATCTGTTGAATGGGGATAATGACACCCTGTGGGACCGCACAGGCCTGCGAGTAGTCCGCAGCTACTTATTCTACCCGTGTGACCTCCCACAAGTCACGGCGCCTCCTTGGCCTCTGCGTGCTTATCTGAAAGAGGGGGTGGCTCATGCTCACCTCCCCGTAGTGTGGGGCGCAGGAGGCGATTCATGGATCTGGGCGTAGGTAATAGCCCTTATTCTGTCTACATTTACTGTGGCAGTGGAGGTGAAGGCTGGTGGCACACTGCCAAGGCCTGTGCATGTGGCCAGAGTGGGCGTCATAGCCAGTCTCCTGAGTCCCCATTTCATGCGTTCTCCTGTCCCCAAGCTGCTAAGCTCACACCCTTCTTGCCCCTGACCCGCCGGGGTCCTCCTGGGCAACAGTGTGTGGGAAGGGTCAGACCAAGGTGATAATTCCTGCCACTAGCACGGCACTTAACAGTGTGTCGCTCGCTTGTCCTCTGGCCACCCCTCCCCTCGTTCCTCCATGCCCGCACATTCATCGAGTGCCTTCTCGGGGCTGCTCTGTGCTAGGCCCTTGGGGATAAAGGGGCCGACGAGACAGGTGAGGTCCCTGCCTAGCATCCCGTGAGGCTGACGCGATCCCCTCGTTTTGCAGATGAAGACACCGAGGCTCAGACAGGAAGCCTGCCAAGCGTCGGACGGCCAGGTACGGTCGTGCCGGTTGTGTCCTGCATGAAGGTACCGGGCTGAAGCGGGGAGTAGGGGTGAAGTCCAGCCAGCCCTGCTTACCAGGTCCTCACCCAGGGAGTGTCTTTTTAAAGGGTTTTTTTTTCTTATTGACATACAAGTGCCATAGGGCCCGGTGATGACCCTGTCCAAGGTTGCACAGGGACTGTCACAGACTGCAATTTGTACCCAAATTTGGGACTCTCTACCCAGAGTTCTTTCTATCTTGTTGACCTATCCAGAGTTGCAGCGCAGGAAGCCTCAGGAGGCCCCCTTGGCCCCAGCCTGGCCCCGTCAGAGGTTCGCATCCAGCGAAGGCAGAGCCAGACTCTGAGTGTGGGCTCAGCTGGGAGGAACCGCGGAGCCCTCCTCCGGATTTTCAGCAGGAGAACAGAGCCCAGGGGGACTGCCTGGGGCTCCTGATGACGGGGTCAGGGATGGGTGCAAGGCAGGGCTTGTGGGGGGGATGCTGACCACCTCCTAGCTTCCTCTCCCCTCTCTGCTCAGTTAGACTCTTTTCTCCCTCCTCTGAGTCCTCCTCCACCCAGCTTTCTCTTTTGTTCCCTCCCAGAGGGGAAGGGGGTGGGGGCTGGAATCTAAGTGGAGGCAGCTGTTCCCAAGGCCAAGGGGGAGGGGCTGCCTGCTATTAACCAGCTGAAGACTTGAGGCTGCAGGTCAGTGTGGCTGGCTGAGCCCAGGTGGTGGTGTTCCAACTCAGGGAGCCAGCAAGTGGGGGGTGGGGAAGGGGGGGATGGAGATGGGCAAGGCATGTGGCAGGGAGTGTGGCCTGGCAAATATCGGGGGGATCTGTGTTCTTTGCATATAGGTGCGTGAGTTGTGTGTGTGTCTGGTCTGCATTGTGGGTGGAAAGTGTGTGTGCATGTGCATGTGCGTGTATGTGTGAGATACTGCGGTGCAGTTGGAAGAACAAAGGCTTAAGAGGCAGCTGCTCAGCCCTGAGTCTGGATCCAGGTCCAGGGTGACCCGGGTGAGTTACTTCCATCTTTTGAGTCTAATTTTCAGCAAAATGAAGATGATAATCCTACTTTGCCAGTTACTGGGAGGATTAAATGCCCAGCTGGGGGATAAGGTACCTAGCTGAGTTCCAGGAAAATTATCTCATGAGTGAGAACTATTGTTACTCTAATTACTATTCAGAAATGTCTGGCGAGGAGTACACAGAAGTCCCTCCAACGAGTGGGTAGTCGGTGCGCCTGGGGGTGGGAGGCACTATATATGGACATCGGAGTATCGCCAAGTGGCCTGAGAAGGATAGGAGGCACAGGCAGGGCTAGAAGTTTCTGCTCAAATCTCATCGGTGCAGCCAGGCCTGGAGGACAGGAAGGGAACCGGAGCAGGTGAGGGAGGAAGAGCGCCGTGAGAGAATGTGATGTGTGTCAGTGTGTGTGTGCACGTGTGTAGGGGAGGCAGGGAGGAGCGGTCAGAAGAGCAAATCTGGTGCCCATCCGCGTAGCTTTGAAACCTAGCTGTGTGACCTTGGGCCGCTCACTTAATCTCTCCTTCAGTTTCCTCCTCTTAAAAATGGAGATGACGCTGTTGATGATGATGGTGGTGATGATGATGCCAGCTTCACAGGGTGGTTGTGAGATTACACAAGTGACTACCAATAAAACGCATAACAGCACCAGGCACCTGCCCCTTAATATACAAACTAGCCCCTATTTTTATTTGCCAAGCAAGACTGTGTGCCAGGCCTGCGCAAGGCCTCCACGTGCTTAAGCTCCTCAACCCCTTCCAGGTCCTGTCATCACCCCCATTTTACAGATGAGGGAACTGAGGCTCAGAGAATCCAGGTGCCTGACCTTGGGACAAAAGGGCTGGTTAGGGGCAGAGCCACGTTCCCAGGCCACGTCTGTCCAGAGCCCCGGCTCTAAGAGCACCCTCCTGAGGGCCAGCCAGGCACACCTGCCAGCTCCCACATGCTACACACCAAACCCTGCTGGTGCCCGGGTACGGGTGGGGGGTGGGGGAGGAGCACCGCTTCCTGGCTTGGGTGAGCACGCGGGCATGGATGGCTCATACATATGTGCACAGGCAGCGCACACAGGCGTAATAATCACGAAAGTCTGCAGGCCCCTGTGTGGACAGCCTCGGCGGTGCTCCTGCGTGCGGGCCCGTGGATGTAGACACGCAACAGGCTGTGCAATGCAGACCCTACCCGAGCTAGTAGTGCAGGGGGAACTCCTTAGATGTGGAAAGGCTGCCCCCCCAAATCAAATGATTTCTGCCTGCTCACTTCACCCCGTCTGTGATGCTTCCCCCCCGCTCCCCACGCCTTAAAGCGCACACTCAGAGACGGCACTTGCTGCCTAAAAATCCGTATGTGGCTACACTGGTGGCAGAATGAAGGGGAGAAACGGTGTCCAGACAACCGGGAAAAATGGTGATGTCTAAGCATAATCTCCCCTCCAGCCCTGGGGAGCAGCATCAAGCACACAACCTGGTACACAGTAGACATTTAACACCATTTTTTTGTTTTGAATGAATGAATGAATGAGGCAAGTACTATCATGATGCCCATTTTAAAGATGGGAAAACTGAGGCTTTGGGGCAGGTGCAGTGATTTTCCTACAATTCTACAGCTGAGCTGGGACTCACACCCAGGTCTTCTCTGATTCCAAAGCCCGCAAACATTCTGCCGCAGCCAGTGTGGAGTGCGGGGAGCACGCTTAGTGTTCTCTCCCTCTGGCCCAGCATGGGCTTCCCTGTTTCCAATGGTCAAAGGAGACTCACATGGCTGCCTGTTCCAGAGATTGGCCCATCTGACCACTCTCCTTCCTCCCTCGAAAGCCTTTCAAGGCTTCCCGCTGCCTAAAGATATAGTCCCACTCCTTCACCTGACATTTAAGGCCCGTCACAGCCTGTCCCCTCTGTCCTCACCTCCCAACCCCTCTCACGTGAGCTCACCCAGCTGATCTGCCTGCTCCTGAACTTAACCTCCCGGCTCCAGGAGGCTGCGCCTGCCACTGGCCCCTCACTGTCGCTCCGCCCTGGAGTGCCCTCCTCCTGATCCCTTTTGGCTCTGCGGGGCCCCCTGGCGGAAGCCTGTGTTCACGAGCAAGAGTACTTGCCCCTCCTCGGAGCTCCTTGTCCTAGAGCCCCTGGCTCAGCCCAAGCCCAGACTTAGGTCTGTCACCAGATTCGTTCCCAGGCTGGTCCAGTCTTCCCGTTGGCCCGTGTCTGACTCATGTCTGTGATTCTTGCACAGGGGCGGGCGCGGCACAAGTGTGTGCACTGCGCTAACTGCAAAGAGTGACAAGCAGGGGCGAAGTGGCGGGTGGGGCCTGGACTCAAGAAGCAGACCCTCAGGGGCTAAAGCCCGCTCCTCTCTCTTTCAGGACCAGTGACATTGGGCGAGTCACTTCTCCTCTCTGACCCTCAGTGTCCTCATCTGTAAAATGAGTACAGTAGCCTCTGAGGCACAAATGCAACACTATGTGGCATCTTCCACTCTCCCCAGTGCGGGGACCCAGAAAAATCTGTGCGTCTGCATCTGTCTATTTCCCAGGTGCCCACGGGGCTAGGCCAAACCTCCCAGGGTATGGCTTCAGTTCCAGGAACAGACCGAGCTTGCTCCTGCCTCAGGACCTTTGCCCCCGCCCTTCCCCAGAGTTTTGCATGGCTTGGCTCTCTCTTTATCACTATGATCTCAGCTCATTTGTCAACTCCTTGACCACTCAATCCAAAGTAGCCCCCTGTGGCCTCAGCCCTCCTTATCCTACCACCTTGTTTATTTTCATCATCGCTCTCATCAGCAGTGATCCCACTTAACCCCTCGTTGACTGTCTCCCCTCGGGAGAAGGCATAGTCCCTGTGGGCAGGGCCAGGGGCTTGTCACCAGTGTTCCCACATTTCCTGAACCGGTGCAGGACATGACTCCATTGGTACGTGTTGGCTGAGACCCTGACCTTGAGAACGAGGGAGCTGAGACAGAGAAGCCAGGCCGCTGGGCAGCCCGTGTCTGTCCCCCCCAGCCTCTCACTGGCCCCCCTTCCCACGTTTGTCTCTACAGACTGGGCACTCCTCTCCAGCTCTGCCCTTGGCTGAGTCATCTCGGAGGTGTCCCCAGGCCTGGCGCAGGGCCTGGCGAGGAGGAGGAGGAGTTGGGTAAATGTTTGTGGTGTTAAATTGGACCCATCTCGAGCTGCTCACCGCCTCCACATCTGAGGAGCCCCAGGGAAGGGCCAGTGAAAAGAGATGAAAGAAGGTTTCAAAGTTGGCCCTTTCAGTGCAGATAAAAGCAGGGGGGAAGGGACGGGGGAGGCAGGAGAGATCGAAGGGGTATGGAGAGCGATACTGCAGAGGAGGCGAGCAGGTGGACAGAGCCCGACCTGGGAGGCCGGGAGCGGGCTGCGGCTCCTGCTTCTTAACTCAAGGTGGGAGCCTGGGAAGCCGCCTCCCCTCTCGGGCCAGGGGCGAAAATGCCCACCCCACCCTCCCCAGAGATCTGGGGCCGAGCCAGAGGCTGAGGCGGAGGTGGAAAGACTGCCGACAGCCTGGGGTGGGTGGGGAAGGGGAAGTCGGTGGAGGAGTTCAAAGGCAGGCCAGTTTGGGCAGTGAGAAGGGTGCAGCCAGCCCAGGGACAGGGTCCGCGCTCCTCAGCCTGTCCTGGGGCCCGTCCGACTTCCCCTTTGCTGCTCACGCTGCGTCCACCACATCCATCCCAGGCACATCTACCACTCCTCTCATCGACGCATCTGCACAAGCTGCTCCTCGCCAGGAACACCCATCCCCTGCTATTTACACCTGATCACACCTGGCCACTCAGCTCAGTTCAATTCCTGCCTCCTCAAGGGTGGCTCTCCAGGCGCCTGAGGGCATCCGCGGTCTGGGAGCCCCTGGGCAGCTGAACAGGGTGGCGTCTTCCTGTCCTCACCCAGACCTGCCATGTAAGGGCATACAGGCCGTGCACTGGGCAACTCCAAGAGAGCCAGTCACACAGATGATGATGATGATGATGATGGGAATGCTGACGTCTGCAATTGTGTAACGCGGAGATCCTCAAACTCCCTCCCCTTCCCACTCTCCCCTGTGCTCAGGGAGAAAGCAGGGGGCTCGGAGACTCTTTCCCATCCGCCCAAGAGTAGCCATTGCTCCACCTTGATCTCCTCCTCTGGACCAGTTTCTCCTACAATCCTTTCCCCTTTCCATTCCATCTGACCACCTAACCGAAGCCACGGCCAGGGTGGGTTCCCCAGCCCCTGCAGCCCCCAAACCCTTCCAGAGACGCCAGCCCTCCCCTCTGCCCTGCTGTCTCCATCCCTGCTCTGCCTCTGTCTCTGCCCATGTCTGTTTCTCCATCGCCGGGTAGGTCCCTCTGTGTCTAAGTTACTCTCTCTCCTCTCTCAGATCTCAGCCTCTTATTCTTGGCCTCTCCACAGCTCCGCGAGCGCCTCTGTCTTTCTGTCTCTTTTCTCAGCCTGTTTTAACATTTCACGCACTCACCACGCAGCTAGTAAGGGACCCCTGGGGGTTAGGCATCGGGCAAGACCCTGAGGATGCAGTGATGGACACACAGACATAAACCCTTACCCTCATAGAGCTTATCTTTTCGTGGCAGAGGCAGACAAAGTAATTAGAAAACAGGTAGCGTGTTAGATGGTGAACAAGACTAGTGAGAACAAAGGAAAAGGAAGAAAGGGCATGTGCAGGGTTGGGGCTGGGGGTTGCGGGGGTTGCAATTTTAAAAAGGGTGGCCCAGAGAGGCCTCGCTGAGGGGGCCTCACTCTGGAGCAGACCTGGAGGAAGTGAGAGGACAAGCCATGGCCGTATTAAGGGGAGGAGAGCACTGGGCAGAGAGACCAGCAGTTGCAAAGGCCCTGTGGCAGCAGCAAGCTGTGTGTATCTATGGAGCTGTGAGGAGGCCGGTGTGGCCGAGTGGAGTGAAGCAGGGGAAGGGGGGTAGTGGGTGTGGGGTGGGGGGTCTGAGGGGTTTACAGCGGGTCCACAGCACACAGGGCCTGGGGGTCATTCTGAGGGCTTGCTCCTTTATTCTGAGCCCGAGAGGCGCCTTCGGAGGGCTTTGGACAGAGGGGGGCCCTGCTCTGATGTCCACGTGGGCATTTTCAGTCTGGCTCCTGTGCCGGTTCTCGATCGCAGCGGGGCGAGGGCAGAAGCGGGGAGCGCAGCAGGCCGTTGTGACAATGCATGCGAGGGACAGCGTGGCCTGACCCAGGGGGAGCATTGGAGGGGCTGAGATTCGGTCGGATTCTGGGTCTGTTTTTAAAGTGGATATGACAGAATTTGCTGATGGTCTGGAGGGAGGTGTGAAAGACTGGATTTCCCAACATTTTTGATAGAACAACTAGAAGAATGTGGTGGGTTTCTCTTTTCTTTCTTTTTTCTTTTCTTTTTTTTTGTGGAGTGACCAGGAGCCCAGCTCTGAACATGAATTAGAGGTGACTAGTGGCGACCCAGAGGCGCTGCTGAGAGGGACAGGTGGGGCAAACAGGGGTGCTGGGGAGTCAGGGGCGTATGGTGGATGGGCTGAGAGGACGGGAAAGCGCGCGTGGACAGAGAGGAGGAGTCAGTCTGAGCGCGTTCCCTCTGCAGCGTCTGTCACGCTTGGTTCTCTCTCCTTGTCCTGAGTCCCTCGTCTCTCTGTGACTGGTCTGGCATCTGCTTCCTTTGTCTCGGAACTCCAGCTGTGTCCATCTCTCTCTCTGCCCTCCCCCGAATCCTACTTTTCCTCCTTCCCTCCCTGCCCGGCCCCCTCCCCCTCTCCCGGTCTGTGCGCGAGGGCGGTGGCGGGAGAGCAGGCAGCAGGCGTCGGCCCCGGGCGGGGGTCTCACCGGACGGGCCGGTTGGCGGCGTCGGGGTCCCGCGCAGTCACCACGCCGACCAGGGAGCCCACCTGCGCGTCCTCCTGCACCTCCAGGAGGCCGGAGGGCGGCTGGAACTCGGGGGGCTCATCCACGTCGGTCACCGCCACGCGCACGATCGCCTGGTCGCGGAACGTGCCCAGGTCAGCGAAGCGGGGGTCCACGAACTTGTTGAGGGCCTCCAGGACCACGGTGTGTATGGGCTGGGACTCGAAGTCCAGGCGCTGGGGGAGGAAGCCGAGGGCCTGTGAGCAGGCGCGGGTCTGCTGGGACTGGGACACATCCCGAGGCTGCGAGGTGGATCCAGAGAGGGCAGGGCTGGCCCAAGGTCACTGGTAGGCTCCGACCAACCCTCTCTGGTTACAAGTGGAGAAAGTGAGACGCTGGGGACCGGCTGGCTTAGGGCTACCCTGCTAACTTAGGGCTGAACAGTACAGACATCCTGACTGCCGCTACTCAGCACAGGCCATTGAAGCATTTCATTAATTTACTAATTTACAAAGCACTTACTATGTGCCAGTGCCTCAAATATGTTAACTTGGCTAATTTTACAACACCTCAACCCAAGAGCCTTGTAGTATCTCATTTCACACATGAGGAAATGGAGGTCCAGAAGTCCGTAACTTGCCCAAGGTCACTGAACAGGTGGTCCCTGGCAGAGGCAGGACTCAAACCCACCTGGCGGGGCTCCGGAGCCCTCCTGGCCCTTCCCCAACAAGAGGAAGGGCCCCGCTGCTGACCGGCTGTGGGTTGGCGGGCAATCCCTGTAGCCTCTCTGGGCCTCCGCTGGGAGGATGAAATGCGATATTCCCTGGCGCGTGGGCAGCAGCCGCTAATGCGCGTTGAGCCCTATAAGTGCAGCTGCCTTAGAGCTTTCCTGGAGATCTGGTTAAATCCACGCTGAGCCGTGCTTCTCATCAGGGAGAGCTAATGGGCGACCCTCTGACAAATGAGCTCCGTGGCCCTGGATTGGCTCTGGCCTTCTAAAGACAATGCCTTCGAGCAGCGATTTTCAACCGGGGAGCCGCAAGAATTTTTTAAAACATGCAATACCTGGCTATTGAGTCGGGGGCACTGACCTCTTTTTCCTTAAATTGTCAAATAAAAAAAAAATGACAACAGGCAACATAACAGCAGGGGTCCGGTGTGAATGAATCAAAATTATACCTTTATTTTTTTTTGTCAGCTCAGCAAAAAATATATTTTTTTGGTGTGCCGCAGAATTTTTGTAATTAGTTTGCATGTGCCATGAGATGGAAATGGTTGAAAATAGCTGCCTTGCAGCAAAAAGAAATCGCCACGGAGGGGCTGCAGGCACCCCCCCGTTGTGCGGTGCGGGGGCTCTCCCAGTACCAGGGTGACCTTCCCTGTGTGTAGGGACCCTCTGTTCTGCTCAGAACCTCCCACCCCCACCTTTTCCAGCAGTAAAAACTGCCCCCTCCTCCCCTTCAGTCCTGTTGCCGGGGAAATCAGGATGCGGGGAGGCAGGCCGGGGCCTGGCCTGGGAGTGAGCGATGGGCTTTGGAGCTGGGTCATCCATCAGGCAGGGCTCTGGCTCCACGGAGACACCTTAGGCGCCAGTGCTGGAGCTCGTGGGGGGGGGGGGTTGCGGGGGGAGGGAGGAGGAGAGGGGCAGCACTCAGGGTGAGAGCAGGCAAGTGCTCGGCTGGAGTCCCAAGGCTGGGGATGGAGCCTGATTCTACGGCTCTGTGATGCTGTGCCGCTCTGCGCCTTTAATTTCGCATCTGTGAAATGGGCTTATCTGGCAGGATGCTCACTCTACAGGGAGATCGGAAGACTGAAAACCACCTAATGCCTAAAAAGGTGGATTCTGGAGCCAGGCTGCCTGGGCCCACAGCCCTATTCTGTTCTGCAAGATGCATGACCTGGATGCAAATGATTGAACTTCTTGGGGCCTAGGAAGTGGACAGGAATCGTACCTCAGGGAGTTGTTGTAGGGATGGAATGAGTTAATACATGGAAAGCAGTTGAAGGGTGCTTGGCACATTGTAGATACTTTATTATGAGTATCAGTTATCATATCATTGTCCTCTGGGAAGTAGTTGGAGAAACTGGCAGTTTTCTCTATCCTCACGCCCTCAAGGCCAGGTACGAAGTGGGTCCTAATTTGCTTATTGAGTGAATGAAGGGTCTTCGGGGTCAGATGTTTCAGTGGGTTCCCAAGACAGAGCCCAGGCTGATAGGAACAGGATTAGGGAGACAGGTTCTGGCTAAATGGGAGGAGGAAGAGCTGGACAATGACAGGGAATGAGCATCCTGTCCCCGAAGGTGTACAAAGGTCTACAAGTCCCGTGCAGGGGACTTAGACCTCCCACGGGAGACCAGGGTTGGAGCGTTCAGTCTCAAGGGCTTCACAGCCCTGAGTCACCAAAGCATGTCCAAGTCCTGGAAAATGGATTTTGCCTCTTTATTTGACCTCCATCTTCTTTCTCTAGGAATCACTGAGTTTGCAACTTTTGGCTTCTGGTTTCTGGACAAGCCAGTGAAGGCTGTTAGACTCAGGAACGAGAGAACTTGGAGTCACCAGACCTGGGTTCGAATCCCAACTCTGCCCCTTAGAGGTGTGACCTAGGGCAAGCCCCTTTGTGAGCCTGTTTTCTCACTTGTGAAAATGAGCATCATGATGTCTCCTCTAGAGGGAAAGGTAAGGATTAGAGGAAATGATACAGGTAGAGGTCCTGGTATGGACTTGAAGCAATAGCTCATTGTAGTGATTAAAAGCACTGATTCAAATCTGGATTGAATCCTGGCTCTGACACCTAACTGTGCCACCTTGGGAATGTCACTTAACCTCACTGTGCCTCATTTTCTCATTTGTAACATGGGAGTGAAACCACCAGCCTTTTCCCAGGTTGCTCCTGGGTCTCTGGAAAGACCTAATCCCTGGAGTGGAGTGGAGTGGGGTGGGAGTATCTGGCTGTCAGAGGCTCCCTGACTCCACCCCCTAGGGCCTGCCTCCCCCACCCCTCCTGGGGTAGCTGTACCTTCTGCAGGAGGATGATGGCCTCCTGAGTGTCGCTGTCCGTGGTCACCTTGAACACATGGCCACCGGTGCCGCTCTCCTCCTTGAGGTGGTATGTCATGTCCGTGTTCTCGCCCACATCCGAGTCCTCGGCCTTCACACGTCCCACGGCTGTGCCGATGGGAGCGGACTCCTGAATGCTGAACTGGTACATCTCTGTGGGGGATACGGCTGTGAGCCAGGATGGGGCCAGCCCATGCCCCAGCTTCCAGCAGCTCTAGGGGAGAGGAGAGGGGGGCTGAGGTGGGCTCCAGGGAGATAAGTATCTGCAAGGGGTCCCCAGCTTGGCCAGGAAGGTGCTGGGAGAGGCATACCCTCTGCAGAAATGTGGGAGATGGTGCAAAGAGCAGGGTACAAGATCTGACCCTGCACTCATTTGCTAATTAATTTGGGAATGTGCATGCAATTTTTTGGGCCTCAGCTTCCCCATCTGCCCAGTGAGGATGACAGAGGAGAACCGTGGTCAAGGCTAAAGGCCTGGAGTCAGTCCTGGCTGTGTAATCCTGAGCCTGGAATGCCTCCTCTGTAGAATGGGAATAATAATAGTGTCTTCCTAACCGCACTGTGATCATGATTAACTTAGATGACGATGCCTTTAAAATTTTGAGTACAGTGCCTGGCACGTGGTAGCTACTCAACAAAATGGACCAAATTGTATTAAAATGGTGGAGCTTTATGTTGACTTTTCTGTTGGCATTGATTCCTTCATTTCTGCTTATTTATTGAGCAGCTACAATGTCCCAGATGCAATTTTAGGCCCTGGGTACAGCAACAAGCAAAACAGATCAAAGTCCTAGTTCTCCCAGGGCTTTCCCCTCTTTATGGAAAGAGAGAGACACTAGACAATCACAGCAGGAAGACATGCAGTATGTCAGACAGTGATGGGTACTTTGGAGAAAAATGAAGCAGGGCATAGGGATGGGGTTGCTGAGGAAGGTGTGTGTGATCAAGAAAGGCCTCTCATGAACAAAATAAACTAACGAGCAAAACAGAACCAGAGACATGGAAACATGAAACAGACTGACAGCTGCCAGAGGAAAGGGGGGCGGGGGGAATGGTTGGATAAGGGGAAGGAATTAGCCAAAGAACACGTATGCATGACCTGTGGACATGGACAATGGTGTGGGGGTTGGCTGGGAGAGGGCGGTGGGCTGGGTGGAGGAGAGCAAAGGGGAAAAATTGGGACACCTGTAATAGAATAAACAAAAAAAAGAAAAAAGAAAAAAAAGAGAGAAAGGCCTCTCTGAGAAGATGACATTTTTGCAAAAGACTGAGTCAGGTAGATATTTGGGAAAGAGAATTCCAGACAGAGGAAACAGCAGGTGCAAAGGCCCTGAGGTGGGTACGATGTCTGGCGTGTTTGCAGAATGGCAGGATGACCGTTGCGGCTACAGGTGCGAAACAGAAGGAAAACCAGAAGGAATGAGGTCAGATGGAACGCAAACAGCACCCTGCCCTCCTCCCAGAGCTGAGGGGAAGAGAGGGTGATTTGCAGATGAAGCAGGGGCTGTGGAGGTGGGGACTGTCCCCTGAAGTCCCCACACAGGTCTGGCTACCCTTGTGTGGGCTGGGTGCCTCCGATTCACTCTCACACAGCAGCTAGGGCTACTCTCTCTGATCGATCGTACGACCCCCTGCTGTAATCTCTTGTGGGCTCCCCACTGCCCTTGGGATGGAGATCTCTAAGCCCCTTGGCCGGCCCTGCAAGGAGCTTGCTGCCGGGCTCCTGCTGGCATCTGCAGCCTCATCCCCCTCTCACCCCCCACTTCCCTGCCCCACTCTGGCTTCAGCCAGGCTGAGGTTCTTGTAGTTCCTTAAATATGACTTGCTCTGTCTCACCCGCAGGCATTCCCCTCTGTATTCTGCTTCCTGCCTTTGCCTCCTCAATTCCCACTCCCTCTTTAGGCTCACAGAATGTGACCTTCTCTAGGGAACCTTCCCAGACCTCCAGGCTCCGCTCCTGTGGGCCCAGGGCCCCCTGCGTATGAGGATTACCGCAGTTCCCTGTTACATTTTATTCTCTGTTTATTCCCATCCATCCATTTATTCTCATTCTCTCACTTTCTCTCCGCCCCCCTCTCCTGGAAGGCAGGGACCACATCTCTTATTCATCGGGCATCATCAGTGCCTGGCAGAACACCAGACTGTCACATAAATGAAACGTGTGAGTGACCAGTGAGTGTGTGAATGAAAAGCAGCATGAGTTACCAGAATACACTCACCTGATTAACACAAATGAAAGAATCGGACAATACCAAGTGCTAGCGAGGATGTGGTACAACGGACACGTGCATGTCTGTATGGGGGAAGACAGTCTGGCTCTATTTAGTAAAGCTGAAGATATCTCATGAGCCAGCTGTTCGGCTTCACTGTATACACACAGAGAAATGTGTGCAAAATGGCACTAGGAGATGTGCGACAATGTTCCCAGCTGCACCCTCCCCAACAACCTCAAATGGGGAACCTCCGGAATGCCCACCAACAGCGGAATAATGACAGCATGGACTGCTATACAGCAATGAAAATGAATGAATTACAGCTGCCAGCAGCAACATAGGATTTTACAAACATCGTGTTGAGAGGCAAGAAAGCAAGACAAATACTTCATATGGTATGAATCCACTTATAGAAGATTAAAAACAGATGAAACGAAACTCTAACGTGAGGTGATGCACACCTGGGTGCATCAACCGAGGAAAAGTGAGGAGGTGAAGATCACAGGAGCAGATTCCGGTTAATTCGTGAGGGAGCGTCGGGGAGCAGGTATGATCAGGACAGGGCATGTGGGCCACTTCCGGGGTCCCGACTGGTGGTTAAAGGAGTGTTTGCTTTACACTGATCTTTTATACCCATCTGTTTGTATGCCATATTTTACAATAAAGAAATGCTAGAAACAAATAAAGAATGAATAAACAGTTTTCCCGGGGCCCTGGTGCCTCTTCTCTTGTCTGTCCCACACCTCCCAGCTCAGAGCTGACCCAGAGCCTGGCTCAACCGGGCAGAAAACTGGGTGCTCCCACTTCCTGACCTCGTGCTTTGAAGCTTCCCCACAGCGGGGAGGGCCGAGGTGGGGGAGGGGCGGAGGGCTGGCTTCTGTGCCAGGCTCCCTGGTGCCGTGGAGCCAGCTGTCGGGCTCTGCCTGCCCAGCTCAGTGTCTGGGCCGAGGCGCTAGGCTTCTATGATGCTGCGCTCTCAGCTAAGGGATTGGATTCCCTTATCTCGAGGGGGTCAGTCCCCTGTGGCGGGGCCTAATGTGAGAGCAGCAGACCTTGAGTAATGACTCGCCTGATAGGAATCAGCCCAGCTCCCCGCGGCATTTAGTCTCTGCCAGCCTCAGCGGCTTCCCCTGCACAGCTCTGGGTCTGAGAGGGGCTGGCTGGGCCAACGGGGAGGCGGGGCACCGGGTCCCATAATGCCCACCTGCTGCGGTGCCAGGAGAGGCAGAGAGTGGGGACACCTCATGATTCAGAAGCACAGAATCCTGCGCTCCAGGCTCAGAGCGGGAGGGAAAGTCCTGCCACTCTGGACCTTGCTTCGCCAGGCTTTGCTGGGGTGTGTGCAAGGGCCGTGAGGGGTTGGGGAGGTGGGCAGACAGGACTCACCATCGGCAGGAAGCAAGGTGAGGGGCGGGGAGGTAGCCATGTTACTTGGGTGTATGGAAAGCCAGACAACTCTGGGGCCCTCTCCTGCAAGACGCATGATTGGAAGGGACCTGGGGGTAGGGGGCTGGCTTGGGTGGGTAGACAGACAGGCAGATGGGAGGCCCTCTTTCAGTGGGGAGCCAACAGGGGACTTGGGGTCAGTGTCTGGCTTGGAGGGGCTCACGGACAGACACGTGGATGTTGCTTCCTTCTCCTGGGAAGGGCTCACTCACTCTGGGGGAAACGGGGCGGGTTGTCGTTGACGTCGGTGACCACGATGGTGACGGTCGTGGAGCCCGAGAGGCCGCCCAGCTGGCCCGCCATGTCTGTGGCCTGGATCACCACCTCGTAGCGCTCCTGGCTCTCGCGGTCAAGGTCAGGCACAGCTGTCCGAATCACACCTGCGGGTGAGGGAGGGGGAGGCCCAGGATGCCCACATCAGCGGCCAGCAGATAGGAGACCCCCTCCACAGGCAGAGGCTGGCTCATCCAAGTTCAGGAGGGGACTGGAGACGACACAGTCATGGCCACGGCACCACCGGTGGGGGGCGCTCAGCAGCCACTGCCCATACTCCCGTACTCACACCGCGCTCATAGATATGCTCACAGGCTCACACAGGTAACTCACACAGGTAACTCACACAGGTAACTCACACAGTACTCCTCACACTCGCACACAATACTCTATCACACATACACGCAGCTCTCAGATTCATACACACTTTCAAACATACATACACACACACAATGTATAGAGACATACTAATACACGCCTTTTAGACACACACATTTTCAAAAACACACTCTCACACATACAAGCATACTCACTTATTCACATACTCACACACAACACGAAATCAACAGAGTGGACTCTTTGGTTTACTAAAAAGAAGGTAGGGACTAGAACCTGCCCCTGGGCAACCTGTCCCACTTTTGAGGCCTCAGTTTCCCCAGGTGAGGGCGAGCCCTGATGTTCCCTGAGGGAGCCTGGCCCGTATCTGTCCGATCGCCCCTGTCAGTGGCACTCGGCCCTGAGCCTGGCACGGAGCAGCCACTTGGTGAGTGTTTAACAAGGTGTGGGAATCACCCCCACACTCAGGGACACTCGCTATGGACTCACGCTCACTTGTACACACACTAGGTAAGTCTCATACACTTACGTGCTGCATACATAAGCACACACATGTATTTACGTGCACTCAGGCACACTAACATGCTCATTCTCACACACACCCCCCTCCACGATTACATCATCCCCTGGCCCGCAGAGTCCCGGCCCCTGGCCCCCAGCCTGGCCAGATTCTCTGTCCAGGCACCAGCTAATGGCTGAACAGACAATCCTTCAAGCTGTTAATGGATGCGGGGGTGGACGGGCCACAGGAATGGGGTGACTGCAAGATGAATTCTGCTGAGGGGAAGGCTGCGTTTCTTGTCTCTCTGCCAGGGGGAGACGAAGGCGGAGCGGGGAGTTGATGAGGCATTCAGAGCCTCCCCCCATGACTCACTCCAACCTGCCGAGCACCAGGTGGTGACAGGTGGTACCCAGGGCCTGAGCACCAGGTGGAGTCATGCACCAGCAGCCCCTTGATGCGCCCCATAAAACCCAATCTCTGAGTCCTGATGTCCTCAAGCAGCCTCCAGACTCCAATAAAGGCCATGGAATGGGAGAAGAGGCTGCAGTGTGTGTGTGTGTGTGTGTGTGCGCGCGCGCGCGTATAGTTGGGGAGCCAGGGGCACCAAGGGGGTGGCCATGCTTTTGTGGGACCACATGGAGAAATGGCGTGTGTACTTTTCCCTAACAAGAGTCACACAGACCCTCCATCAGTGGCCTTCAGGGTTTCTCAGTAGGTCCCCTGCAGACCCCGCTTCTGCCAGAACAGGTCTCCACAAGGAGAGGGGAGTCTTGGCAGCAGATGGGCTTGGGAATCAATCCCAGGTCACCATTTGGGGGTCGTGTGACTTGAGTATATCCCTTCACCTCTCTGAAACTCAGTTTTCTCACCTGTAAAATGGGACAACCACTATACTTCCCCAAGGAGCAGGGTTTCACAACCTCATCAGCACACTGGACACTGCGGCAGGATAATTCCACCTGCTAAACTCCAGCAGCAGCGCCCGCCCACCAACCCCTGTTCCAAAAATGTCCTCAGACATTGTCAAATGGCCTGAGAGCAAAATTGGTTGAGAGTCACCAGGGCGGAGTTTCACCTCATGAGGACTACGTGTGACAGCGCCGGTCACCAACCCTGATGTGCCCGTACTCTGCACCTGGCGCTCGGCGGGGTGCCTAAGTGAGCTGTCTCATTTAATCCTCTTACCACCCCACGAGGAAAGTTCTGTGATTATCCCCACTTCACAGATGGGGACGCGGAGGCACAGAGAGGTTAAGTACTTGCCCGAGGTCTCACGCGCATAAAGGGCAGAGCCAGGAACCAAGCAGACACTCTGGGGCAGAGTTGCGCTGCGCTGCTGGGTGTAAGGGCTCCAGGAGGGTCCCTACCTGGCCTGCTTGTGTCCCCTGCCTCGCCCACCACCTGGTCCGAGGGCAGAGCCGGGGCCTCTGACAGAGGGGTGCCATTTATGTGGTCCTGTCTCAGCCCCCGGAATATTCTTCTTGCTCTTCGCAGTCCTAGTCAGGCAAACCATCTTTCCAATCGTGCAGCAGGTCCTTCTTGACATACCCCCCACATCCTGCCCCTCGACACTGTGATTGTGAGGGGCACCCTTCTGGGGATGGGGCAGGGCCCAGGGTCTGCTAGCTGCTGAGTGTTTGCAGCTGGCCTCTTAGCTGTTGCAGCCTCGGACAGCGGGGATGTTCTGGGAAGTGGGCATGTTGGGTCCTCTGCCTCAGGGCGAGGGGTGTGGAAGGAGGGAAAGAGCAGAAGGGACAAAGTAGGAGAAGATAAAGGATGAAGGTGACAGAGAAGAAGAGAGAGAGAGAGAAGGAAAGGGAAACTGGGGAAAGAGACAGACAGAAACCTAGTGAGAGGCGGGAAAGAGACAAGAGGAGAGAGATGTGCATGTGGAGACAGAGGTAGAGGAAGGGGAGGTGAGAGACACAGAGGGAGGGAGACCTGGAGAGACAGAAGAAGAGAGAAGGGATGAGGAGAGTGGTAAAGCCAGAGAGAAATCTACACACAGAGGAGACAGGAAGAGAGACAGAGCAACAGACAGACAGAGACCTGGAGAGAGACAAACAGTGAAATAAATGTTCTCACAGACAACAGAGAGGCAGAGGGATGGAAGGGTGAACAAAGGTGGGGGCAGGGAGGAAAGGAGAGGGCAGATGGACAGACTGACAGCAGAGTGGCCACCAGGCCGGAGGGATGGAGGCGAGGGTGGGAGCGGGGGGCGGGGCCTGAGTGAACCAGGCAGAAAGATGTGGGGGAGCTGACCGGCGGAGCACTTCCTGAGGGCTAAGCTTTGTGCTTGTCACTTTAAATCTGGGGCCTCACGGGATGTGGAGGAGTTGACGGTGGGATTTGGGGCCACTGTGCCTCTATGAGCTTGTTTATGGAAAGCTCAGCAGCCCCAGCCCTGAGTGGGGCTTGGAGCAGGGGTCTGGCTGAGGTCCACGCCTGTGGTGAGGAGCCATGTTCAAGAGCCTGACCTCCTTGCTGGCCCTGCCATTTCCAGCTCCAGAGGAACTGGGGACACTGAACTCTCCTCATTTAGCAACTGGAGATGAAGCCTAGAGTGCATGATCAGGTGCCCTCTCTGGGTGGCTGTGGGGTGGGTACCCGGAGGCCATGTCGCATCTGGGCCCTGCCTCAGGGTTACACTTGGGTTAGGTTGCTATGGTAACAGCTCCCAATGAACCACATCCCCCGGAATCCATGCCATGGGTCATCTCCTCCCACACTGACTCTAGCCTGGGCCATGCTACTTGCTTTGGCCAATGGGACATCAGCAAGAGCGATTAAAAAAAAGCGAGGTTGCCAAGCCCTTGTGTGCTGGGGACCTGTCCTCTTGGAACCCTGAGACCATCATGCTGTGAAGAAGCCCAGAATGAGAGGCTATGGAGGGAGAGGGCCAGCCATGCCAGCTGTCCTAGCTGACTTGCCAGCTGACTGTCACCATGTGCTGACCCCAGCAAACCCATAGAATTATGACAAATAAGAAATTATTGCTGTGTTAAGCCACCACGTTTTGGGTTTGTTGTGTAGCAGTAGATATCTGTCAGAGAAACTGAGTTCCCGGGCCCGTTCCCCTCTGGGGCACACTCATGCAGCTGCATTTAGCAGGGGTCAGCCGGCTGGAGGGCCCGCGATGGCCTAATGCGCATGGCTGGCAGTTGACCCTGGCTGTCGCTAGGCCTTCGCTCATCCCCCAGCAGGCTGAGCTGGCTTCCTTATATGGCAGTCTCAGGACCATGAGAAAGGATGCTCCTTTCATGTTCCAGCTGAGAACGTGAAAGCTTCAAGGTCTCTTAAGGCCTAATCTGGAAATTTACAGAACATCACTTCTGCTACATTCTATTGGCCAAAGCGGCCACAAGGCCGGCCCGGATTTAAGGGGTGGGAGGAATGGCAAAGTCACTTTACTTTGAGGCCAGTTTAGGGATGGGGCAGGGGGATGTTGACAACATATTTTTCCATCTACTCCCCACTCTGCCTCCTGGTGCTGGGAGAAGCGTCCTGGAGGCTGGTGCCCTTCTGAGGGGCTGGGGTAAAATTCCCAAATCAGCCCATGAAGTTGTTCTTGAAAGCTTCTGGCTCTGCAAATTCATTTATTCATTTGTTAATCCCTTAAAGAGGGCCTACTATGTGAAGGGGCTACAGAATCAAATCTCAGGCAGTGCAAAAAGGAAGGACTTTGGAGTCAGACAGATAGAGTTCAAGACTTCTTTCTATCGTTTGCATGCTGTCTGACCTTGGGGCAAGTTCTTGAGTCTCTTTGAGCCTCATTTTCCTATTCTGTAAAATGGGGATACCCAGTTGATTGGGCTGTTGGGAAGATGAAATGAGATAAAGCTTTTGGCCGCAGGTCTCACATTTTAGAGATGGTTCGCTGATCCCCCCTCAAGTCTTGGGTTGGATGTCCCATCAGTAAGTTCCATGAGGGCAGAGATCCATGTTGGTCTTGTTCATCATCTTATCTATAGGGTCTGGCACCTAGTTGGTATTCAATAAACACTTTCGACTGCCTGACTTTCTGCCACAGCTCCTTTGATGCTCAGCAAAGGTTAGTTTCATTCTCTCCCAGGAAAATGGACATCTCTGGCCCAGGTGAGAATTTTCAGTGGATACCTTGAAGTCTCTGCGCAAGTCTTTCTATTCTTGCTGGGGTGGCAGTGGGTGGGGCTGGTAATCAGAACCTGGCCTTGGCGGCCCCCTGCGGCCTTCTCCTCACACATCACCCCCAGTTCCACCTCTTGTCCTCATCACCTCTGCTGTCCCCTCCAAATGCTGCAGAAGGGGCCCTGGAGCCCAAGTGAGGCCTCATTAGCCCGCAAATGCCATCCCTGTCGCCCCTGTGGGGGGCTTGCTGGCAGGCCTGGCCTTTAAAATACACACATTAATTCCTCCTCTGGCACTGGGCCTCGTGGCAGCCCACCCCTTCCTGTCCTTCACACCTTCCTCTCAGGCCCTGGCCGGGCTCCGCTCCCTGCTATCTGCACAGCGAGAACAGGCTGTACCTCGCAGTAGCTGCTAAATATAGCCCCACATCAACGGAATATTCCTGGCTGGGGAAAGAGAGCTGGGGCTGGGAAACGCACCGGGTGGCTCCTGCAGGGGTGCTGAAGGCAAGCGGAGGAAAGATGTGGTCCTTCCTAGGAAATGTCAGCAAAGACCCCTTCAGGCTAAGAAAGCCGAGGGACCCCATTGCCACCTTTGCCTGCCTTGCCTGGTGCCCTCTCTGGCTTCTTGGGAACTAACTCTTTCTGCCCTTTCTGGCTCCTTGGCTCCCCGGCTCCCCCCTTGCGCCCTTCCCCTAGACCCTCTGCAGTGGGGGGTGCGCGTCCTTGGAACCAGGTTGTCTTTCTCACTCTCTCGGAGGCTGATTCCTTATCTGCCCACCCCTGCCACATCCCGGACTCGGTCCTGGGCCTTCCCTTATTTCTATGTTTTGTCTTCTCCTTTCCTCCCCACTGGAAGCTGATCAACTCTAAGGGCCCCACTTCCTCAGGCTGCATCATCATTATCGTCTTCTTCATGCCTTTGGTTTCCATTTAGGTACCAAGAATTGCACTGAACACTTCACACACTACAGTTTCCTTGGCCTAAAAGCTCTCTCCTAGATACAGACGGGCTTCCACCCTCACTTCCTGTAGGTCCGTGCCCCAAGGTCTGCTCCCCAGAAAGGCCTGTCCTCAGGTTTTTTGTTTTTTTTTTCTCTTTTTTTTTTTTTTTTTTTTTCTTTTTTTTTTTTTTTTTTTTTTTTTTTTTATTTTTTTTTTTTTTTTTTTTTTTTTTTTTTTTTTTTTGTTTTTTTTTTTTTTTTTTTTTTTTTTTTTTTTTTGTTGTTGTGGGCGCTTTTTTTTTTTTTTTTTTTTTTTTTTTTTTTTTTTTTTGTTTTGTTTTCAGGGCTCTCTGCTGGGCACCCCGGATGTCCGGGTCTCCTGGAATGCAACCCCTGCCTCTGAGCCATGCTATACAGCAGCCGCCTGAGGGATCTTGTTAAAATGAAAACCTGAGCATGTCACTTCCCTGCTTCAAAGTCATCAATGAACCCAATGTGCTGGCGAGGAGGAGGGGCACCCAGCGCCCTCGTACGTGGCTCTCAGGAGTGCAAGCTGGTACACGCTGGCATTATCTATCTAGATCCCAAGTAAATGTGTGTGCCCTTTGATCCAGCCTTTCCACTTCCTGAAAATTATCCTGCAGATCTACTCCCACATACACACCGAGTGATGTATGTACGAGGTTATTCACTGTAGCATTGTTCGTTGTAGCAAAAGATTGGAAAGAGCATAAGTGTCCATCAACAGGGGACTGGTGAAACAAATTTTTGTGTATCCACCACAGCTGTTGAATAAAAGAATGAGAAAGCTCTGTATGTACTGACATGAAATAATCTTCAAGATGTATTGGTAAGCAAAAAAGGCAAGCAGTGTGTATGGTGTGTTATAGCTACCATTTGTATAAAAAAAATAAAACAAATCCATATACTTCTTTTCTTGTACATGCATAGAATAGCTCTGGAAAGATACACAAGAAAATTACATTGGTTGCCTTGGAGACACAGACTGGGTGACTGGGTGACTGGAAGGGGTAAAGAATTTCCACTAAACGCCTGTTTGGACTTCTTGAATTTTGAACCTTGAAATATATTTTCTATTTACAAAATAACTTAGTTTTCAAATGAGTGAGTCCACGATCTTTTAGGATATATATATATATATATATTTAGGAGTGGCTATCTTTGGAGTTGCAATTACTGGGGGTGGAGGTAGGAAGCATTTCCTTTCTTTCTCCTTTGAACACTTGTTTCATGTTTGAATGTTCTCTAAAATGTATTAGTTTTGCAAGGAGAAAAAAATAATAATCTATGTAAGAAAATATAATTATAACTGTGCTAATAGATTGGACTCCTGAACCCCTCTCCAAACAAAACAAAACAAAACAAACACACAGACAAAAACCCAGAACGCAGCTCCATCAAATACCCCTCGCTGCCCCATTACCCCGAGAATAAAATCCACGCTCTTGGCCCTCCCTTCCCCTGGGCAAAGCAGGCCCTTGCCAGCCGCTCCGCATCGCTTCTCAACGCGCCCGCTTCCCCAGTCCCGAGTTGCTTACAATTCCCCTCAGGCCTCCGGACGTTCTCGGCCTCCAAGGTTGCCTGCACCACGCCCTCCGCCTGGAATGCCCTTCTCTGAATCTCTGTCTGGCCAAGTCCTTCTTATCCTTTGGAGACACTGCTACCGCCGAAAACCGTGCATCTTAAATCTTAATTGCCCGTGCACATGCCTGACCCCCTCCCCGCACCCGACTGTGAGCCCCATTAGAGCACTTGTCCCTTCCTCTCCCGGGGACCACGAGAGCACCAACCCTGCCAGCGGCAGCCCCTTGCAGCCGTGCGACCTCCAGCCGGCCACTTCACTTCTCTGAGCCTCAGTCTCCTCCTTCTGTCCCCTCTGCCACTCTGGCAAGGCCCCTCCGAGACTACCCAGGTTCTAACCTCGGAGCGAAGTGGGGCCCCGTGGGTGGGGGCGCTGCAGCGTCGTTTGGTGGCGTTGGGGGAGGGCAAATAAGCCAAGAACTTTCTTCCTTAACAGTCTGTGTTTCCGTCTTCCCGTTGGAATTTGAACGGAGCTCTCACGACTGCTGAAAAGGTGCCCTTCACTAGCCGGCCTCCCCCAAAGTGCACTGATGGCCCGCCTGCCTCCGTTTAGGTCCAAGGAGAGGGCCTCCCAAGTCCTTTCGGGGCGCCCTTAGTGGCCGCCTCCTGCCTTTGTCTTTCTGCCAGTCTTGCGGGGGCCGCCACCGCGTTGTTTTCTCTGTCTCAGTCCTCCCCTCTTCCTGCCTGGCTCGACCTTTGGGTCTGTCTCCTGGAGCGTCAAAATGCTTCCCTGTGCTCTGTCCTACCCTCAGCGCCACGTGGTTGGAAGGCTGACCGCAGACATGTGGCTGCTGTCCTCGGTCCACAGCCCACCCCCTCCGACCCTGCCCCTCATTCCACGCCCCTGATTTCGCCCAGGCCCCGCCCACAGCCCCGCCCCCGCGCCCCCCTCCCCTCGTGGCCGGCCCCGCCCCTCACCGGTCTTGGGGTCCACCGTGAAGTGGTTCTCTCCATCCAGCACGCTGTAAACCAGTCGAGCGCTGCTGCCATAGGTCGGGTCATCCGCATCCGAGGCCATCACCTGCATCACCGATGTGCCTGGGCCCGGGGGACCAAGCAACACAGGGGTCACCTGGGGCCGCCAAGCTCGTCCTCCCCACCTCTCCCTACCCCTGAGGAAACTGGGAGAGGAGCCCCAGGCTGGAGGCCATCGAAGCCAATCTTTTCACAGTCCCCATCCCCTAACGAGTCCCACCCAACCTGCTTCCTGACCAGGGGCCTTCCTAGAGCCTGGCGCAAGAACGATCCTGAAATCAGGTCTGGAACCAAGCCCCCCCTCCCTCCCAAGCCACCCAGCTGTAGGGCGCAGCCATGGAGAGCAGCTTCTCTGGACCTCAGTTTCCTCTTCGCCAAAATGCGGAACATCCTAGTCCTGCGTTCCTGAGGGATGCCCTCTGGACTCCCAGGGCAGAGCGGGCTTAGAGCAGCCTCTCGGCGGGCGGTGCCCGTGGCCACTTACGGTCGGGACAGCCAGCGTTAGAGCCAGGACTGGAGACCAGGCACCCGAGTCCCAAAGCAGGAGCCTTCCTACCCACCCCAGCCCCTCTGGAATTCTCAGGGGAATTCTGCCTCCTTCCTCTGCGCAACTCTCACCACCCCCATCCTGCCCTGGGACGGGGCAGTGGGGGCTGAGGGGGCAGCCCGAAGCATAACCAAGTTCACTGGGGCTCAGGGGCCAGTGTCCCTGCTCCCGGGGAAGGGAGATGGCGGTGCCCAGCTCCCGCTTTGGGAAGTAGCTGGCTGTGGGCCCTGGTGCCCTCCTCGCCCCTCCCCACCCCCGGCCCAGATGGTCCCTGCCCCACAGACACACAGCTTCTCCTCATGCTCTGCACGCAGGCTGCTGGGGAGAGTATAAATTGGATAAAAGTCCATCAAAGAGCGGCAATTAAGTTATTGATTTTCGACGCTGCCTCATTAAACTGGGAGCTTCTCTCGGCCTGTCCCAGAGATGGCTCTAATTTGACATCATGTTCAATTTGACAAAAGCAGAGCTTGGGACGTGAGGCTGGACAGGATGGGGGTGAGCGTCGGGGTGGGGGAGGGGTTGAATGGGGCAGAGGGGGTGGGGGCAGGCAGGAAAGCCAGGTGGTCTATCTGAACCTTTTCAGAAAGAAGGGGGCCAGGTGAAAGACCCAACAGGGAGCCCAGCGGCTCAGGATATGACCTAAGGGGATAAGACTCAGACCTCACTTCGAGGAGGCGCTCTCTTCTGAGTGCCCTGCTGGTGAGAGGGCGGGCCCAGGCGTGCTGAGGTTCTGAGTAGCGCCCTCTTGGGCCTGGGTCAGGCTCTCCAGGGCAGCAGGGCAGCATGCGGGGAGGGAAGACCAGCTCACTGCCTGGCTAATGAGTGAGGCTTTGGAAATGCTACTGCAGCAATTCTGCTAAGCCGGCCTGCCGCCCGCCTCTCCCGCCTCCAGCCTGGGGCCCTCGATCATTCCAGACAGACACATGTATTTATTTTTCACTCTTTTGCATTTCTCATTTCCCTCTGGTGTCCTCCCTCCCATCACGAGCCTCCTAAACCTGCCCTGCAATGCGCCTTTCTCTTTGGTGGCTCCAGCTCCATGTCAACCAGAGTTTCCAGGAGAAGCTGGGGAAGGGTTTGGGTAAGCCACCTCCCTCCTGATGCTTGGTGCCCAGGGTCTCCTGTTCAGGGCCAAGGGAGTGATCCCAGGTGCCTCCACCCCATTATACAGAGAGAGGAGAAAGGAATGAACTATTGAATGTCCTTTACATGCCTGGCTTCATCAGGCACTTAAATTCATCATCTCTAATCCTCATAGCATCCCTGAGAGGCAGAATGGGCCCCTTCTAATTACAGGTGAGGAAACAGGTAAAAGAGTAGAAATGGCTTGACTGCGGGCACAGACTGAGGAAGTGGTGGGATTTGAACTCAGGACTCTCTGAGGCCAAAGTCCTTCTGGGTGCCAGAGTCAGTATAGGTGCGGTGACTCTGGGGATGTACTGAATCACAATCAGTATGACTTTGCCACTTCTTTCCAGTTTGACCTTGGGTATAGCACAAACCCCCTTGTCCCTCAATTTTCTCATTTGTGAAATTAGGGTGATAGTACTACCAAACTCTTGGTAGTATGGGCTTGAGAATTCAAATAGATTTCCATTTTCAGCTCCGAGGACAGTGTCTAACCCTTGCTAAAGACTCAATAAATGCAGGTTGCTGTCAAAATCTGGAGGTGCTGCCTGCCAGTATACAATGGCACAATCATGCCTCTCTCACAGACATACTGATTTGGAAGAAGAAAGATACATAAAGCATCAGGCTCATGGTGGGTGCTCCATAAACAGTGGCTGTTGTAACTGTTGTGAGAGAGGATCTCCCTCTCACCCCCGCTCTGTGGGTTTCCCTCCACCCTCTGAGCAAGACACAATACTGGACTGAGTGATGCCACAGGGATATGGCTGACCTTCCTCTCTCTCCCTCCCCGCCCCGCACTGTATCCCAGGGACTCTCTCGGGGATGATGGAGTCATTTCCCCAATCTGGGATTCTTTATTGCAGCCATTACAGTTAATGCCAACACGTGGGGATGGTGAAGGGTCAGTGATTCACAACTGGTTCCCCAGGACCCACACCCCTTCCGCCTTCTTCACAAGTCAGCAACGCCCCAGAATGGACAGACAGAATGGGGCCAAGCTTGAGGTTGCTGGGGGATCCCCTTGAGGTCACCCCTCCTAGGTTCAGCAGTTTGCGCTTTACAATGTGCTGTCACGTCCATTCCCTCCTTCAGTCCTCGTGCCATCCCTGCGATGTGACGCTGTGGTGTGCTGGTACATGTTTAGCCATCAGCTCCAGGGGCTGGAGCAGCAGGGAGGAATGCCCGGCTTTGTAGTGTTTGCTGAATTCCGCGGTGTAAATACTCCTACCATGGCCAATTTCAAGCTACCAATGTGGTATCAAGAGGCTCACAAGGCTCCTGAAAATCAATGCTGGCTCTTGTGAGCTGATACGAGATAATTCCAGTAGAATTATTCCCATTTTACAGATGAGGAAACTGCTATGTATAGTGAAGAGTGGAACTGTGGATTAATGATAAGTAATAATGAAACTTATCATTGTATATCATTGTATATCATTGTTCCATGGTAATGATAGATTGTGTTTATTCAATGATGACTTGTGTTGGATATTGATAAGCCCTTTATGTATAGTTTCTTATGGAATTTATATAATAAAGCCTTGAAGTCAGCTCTATTAAGAGTTCCACTTTACATATGAGGAGCATGAGCAAAGTAATGAAACACTTTGTGCCTTAATTTCCTCCTTTGCACAATGAGGGCGCTAGTATACCGAACTCTTGGGACTGTTGTGAGGGGTGGGGGTTGGGGGGTGGATTTTTACGTTCAGAACCAAGGACAGAGCTTGGCTAAATTCTCCTGGCAAGGAAATGGGAAGGGTAAGATTCAAACCCAGGTGGACCTGACGTCAAAACCCACATGGATAAGATGGGTCAATACGAGTAGGAGTAAAAGTAGACTGAAAGCCAGAGAGGGAAGATTCAGAGAAAGGAGAGGGAGGGAAGAGGAGGGGAATGGCAAGGAGTTGTACTGAGCATTCTCCCTCCCCAACAACTTGTTCAAGCCCAGACTTCCAGAGCTGGGACAAGCTGTTCACTGTCCATGGTGCTGCAAGCCAGCCCTTCTGCTACCTGAGGTTAGGAGCCAAAGTCCAGGCTGGCATAGGAAGGCTTGCCCAAATGATTCTTGGACAAATAGGATCTCAGAGCCCAGGGCTCCATGTGGGATGTTAGATATGGAAAGGCTGGTCCTGGGAGAGCACAGAAACCAGTGGTTCTCAGCCTGGCTGCACATTAGAATCTCTGAGGAGCTATAAAATAAAACTGATGCTGAGCCCCATCCCCGACCAATTCAATAGGACTCTCTTGGGGTAGAGCACAAGCAAGGGTATTTTTAAAAGCTCCTGCAGTGATTCTAACATGCATCCCAGGCTAAGAACTGATGCCCTAGACACAGCATCTGATTGAACTGGTGAGGACTGAGCCACAGAGCGGTCGAATGACTTTCCCAAAGCTACATCATTAATACATGACAGGAAAAGATTCAAACCAAGGTCTGTGTAGCCAGCGTGTCACCCACCAGGACTCACTGTACCTGTGCTGAGAATGACACCGGAAGGAAGCAGCAAGGGTGATGCAGGAGAAGTTGGACATCCTGAGAGGAGATGCCCTTCACACCTCTATGGACATTATGTGGGCTTTGGCATCAGAAAGCCCTGGGTTCAAATCCCACCACTTCTCTCTGTACCTTGGTCAAGTCTTTCCTCCCGTTTGACCTATTTCCTTGTCTGAAATATGGAGGGGCCCATTCTGCTTCTCAGAGATGCTAGCGGATTAGAGATGATGGATTTAAGAAGCCAGACATGTAGTTGGCACTGCACCAGCGTTATTCCTTTCTCCTCTCTGTATGGTCAGAAGATCTCTGGGCCCATGTCCTGGGCCATTAATAGGAGATCCTTGGGCAACAGTATCTCAAGGGAGGGGCCTTGCCCACCCCTTGTCTCTGGTTTACTGGGTGGTTCGGACATGGCTCATCATGGAGCCAGAATTGGAACCCACATTTTGGCTCCCAGACCAGAATTCTTTCCTTTCTTGTCCCTTGTCCCTTGCTCTATGTGGGGTCCAACTGATGCCCACATTTGGGCTCCAGGGCCCCCAGGAGAAGCCCCACTTGGCTCAGGGAGGGGGTGGTGCCACGGGGAGTGGCACTCAGGGATTGAAGACAGGAATTCTCATTCCAGCCCTGCCCTTGGTTATGGGGAAACTGACCTGACTGGGCCTCAGTTCCCCTCCTGTGAAATGGAGATAAAGCTTTATCTTCCCTGCCTCATTGGGTGAGGGAGGCGCCTTAATGAGATGAAAGAGATGAAACACTTCGGAAAAGAACAGAGTCCTCAACCGAGGTGACCAAGTGTCATTATTATGAAGATGTTTGTAATTATGATTATCCTGCCTCTTCCCTCCCTCCCTGCGCTGCCCTGCTGGGCCTGGGAAACCCTCAGCT